AGCTCTACCAGAGTGAGAAACGCAGCCAACGCGGGTGATTGGGACACAGTGGGCAAGTTGTGTACTGAAGGCGTCGCCGCTTGGATCAAAGACCAGGGCCTATACAGCGAGGATGCTAGCGGCAAAAAGATGATGGGTTGAAATACAACCACGTGCATGTCATGTGCGACAGTGATGCATATTCGAGTCTCTCAGACGCAACACCAGAGGGCATGCATATCGCGACCAAACGCCACTTCGGCTGCGTCAGACTTGTGTTGTATGTTTGGATAGCCACTGCATTGGGAAGTCGCCATGAACAGCATATGACACGATCCTTCCACACCGTATGAGGCCACAACATAGATGCAGCCGCGACTGCCTCATCTGTCCAGCATCTCACGCCATTATGTTTAGTCTTCGTCATCGAAACTACTTCCCCATACGCTAAAATGTCTTCTGCAACCATTGGCACCTCCACAAGCTCATGTTGGCATCGGAAAGCTGTCCTGTTTCCATCCCTCTTTCCCAGCTTCCGGCCTTGGGCAAGCACTCCACGTGCACTGACGCAGCCATCAACAAACCAGCAGCTTTCCATGTGCAGCCACCCACTCATCCTTCCTCCACCACCTCCCCATCATGGCGACCAAGCTGTGCTGTACGGCCGAGCAGGACGATCGTTCAGATTCGCCTGAGCTACCCAACGCCCGCGTCAGTCAGCCTACACCGGTGAACAGGCCACTCCTACCCAAAGATGCTAGCTCTCCCAATTCACGCTTCACGAGTGCCCGTTCGGAAGACCTCCATGAGCTGCATGAGATCTTCCACAATGCTCGCGACTCCAACGAAGACCGAGCCATGCCAATGCGAACGCTTCGTGCACGCTTCAGCCGTCCTTCGATGCATAGCATCCGCAGTCTACACAAGATGACGAGTATGCGTTCACTGATCAGACGCAAGTTTTCGAAGGAGCTCCCTAAGAAAACCCCAACCGTTTCATCACCACATTTGCAGCCGAGACCAAGGAACATTACTCCAGCTGCCGGCACTGTTGTCAAGCAGCTGAAAGATGGAACGAATCAGCAGCTTCAGATTACCAAAGATGACCTACGCAAGGATCTACTCAGCGACAAGAAGCCTGATGAGGGCGGTTATGATTCAGATGCTGAGGCACTTAACGAAATTGCAAACAACATCGGCAAGAAATCACCTATCAAGCGACCGAGCATCCACAGCGTCGACTGGACCACCACCACCGGGAGGTGAGATGTTGTGAGCCCTTCATCATGCCATACTGACAGTCACCAGCAAAACAACACCAGACTCCACAAGAAACGGCCGCACCAGCGGCGACCTCAACGACGACCTCCCTCCCTACAGTATCAACAAGCCACAGGCCGGTCCTTTCTCCCACCGGTTCAGCCAAGTATTCAGCACGCCCAATCTGCGATCGGATACACCTGGTGGAAAGGACAACAGAGTGAGACGCTCGCATTCAGCTACATCCATGGGCTTGCCGAAGCCTTCACCCCTCTCACCATTGCGACTACCAAGCCTTACCGACCACGACTCAGCTGGCATACCATGGTCTGAGATAATGCACAAGAGTCTCCGTCTTTCGCAGTTCCCTGTGCCTCCGCGCCATATCAGTCCACAGGCATCTATAACCACCCTCAACAATGACGGCCATAAGCGACACCAGAAACGAAGTAGCTCCGCTTCGGTATCGTCGTACCGAGCCCTTGGACCGACTGCTTCTCCTTCTGCTCGTCTCATTGAGATCCGCGTTCAACAGCCGACTTCTACTGCAACTCCAAGGCCGTCTACATCCATCAGAGGCACTCTCTGTGGAGACTCATCGCGTAAAGCACGAGGACAGGCACACAACAGCGAGGACAACGACGATGATGATAACCCACGTCGGTCTGTCCATCTTTATAGCATGCGCATCTCACATCATCTACGCTCCGGGTCTCTTCTCTCATGGGAGCAACTTGCCGATGCACCAGAGCTTCCGACTCCGCCTCGCGCATTTCGTGAACGCACTGTCTCAGACCAGAGCCGAACTTCCCCACGAAGCAAGCAACTAGCCCGCCATGACCGGCAAACATCGAGTTCAGGGTTTGCCAGCACAAAAGTTCCGACCAAATGGGGTAAAGTATTGCCGAACGATCTTGACACCCGAGCAGATGTTGCGTCTTCCATCTACTCGAGTCGGCCCCAAAGCCCACCCGACAGTTTTGGAGGATCGGTAGCAACTCTACCGCGCACCGATACTGAGAATCGCCCGGCCAGCATCTCGTCTGCCGACATACGACGGCCTCGACGTTCTGCTTCCTTCCCTACAGACAACGAAGACACACCAAGACCAGCAAAACGACATGGTCTTACCAATCTTGCGACGGTCACTGGTCATGCGATTGAGCCTACGCTTCTTGCACCGCCGGCACCATTAGCACGCAAGAACAGTGTTGCTGATACCAAGACCTCCAAATTTCGGGAAGAGTTCAGCCCATCTCCACCCAAGAAGAAGATGACACAGTCAGCATCTATCATCAAGTTCTTGAACCCCAAACGCCTGAGTCTGCGCAGTCAGAGTGAAGCGAATCTTCAGTCTGAAGCTTCTTCCTCCTCGGCCGTCGCACTCGCCGCTGTGGATGGTCCATCTGACACGCTGGAGCTCCCTGTCAATCATGGACGTCGTCAGTCACGGTCATTGATAAGCATGCAGGCTGAACAAGATGCACTCGGAAAGAACAAAGGCGCCAATCATGTATGGGATCGCGCTTTGCAAGCGCATCAAGACGAGAAAGCATCTCTCTATCTTCCCAAGAATAAGGACCTCGCTGTTCATGCGAGCCCTTTCCGCGAGCGCAGCGGCAGCGTTTCCGTGCGACGCATCAGTGTCGAAGGCCTGGATCCAGCTAGCCGAGCTGACGATGGTTCCAGCACGCGGGTATCGACATTAAGTCCCCACGCCGAAACACCTGGTGAAGAGCGCTCCGAGGGGCTGTTCAAGATGGTGTCTCGTCGCAGTGCTATGATAGGGCGTGATGATGTTAGCGTTGGACAAGAAGTGGCAAATGCATTTGAGCGGCAGGGCGACAGCACGGATGTCGTCGGGGCCTGGGGTCGTTATCCTTCGCACACGCGCCATGACCGTACCGCCTCTGCAGGGAAGGCTGATAACGTGCAGCCTCGCGACTTCGCGCTTGAGGCAGCGATCAAGTTTGCTTCAGCAACGGATGACGAGGACCTGATCGATCCCACAGCGAGAAGACCGTCCACCCCACTGCTGCCTGGCGAGAAGAAGAAAAAGAAGAAGGTTGGCAGTGGTCGTGTAGCGAAGAGCAACTCGATGACTTTCGGCAAGACTCTCATGAAGAATTACACCAAAATGTTCAGGAGTCAGAGCACAGAGTTCCGCAGGCATGGCAGAGGACACCGCAGTTCCATCGCATCGGGCGGCATTCTTGAGCACCCTGAGCTCGAGCTCCTGCCTGATGTATGGGCGGGTGAGGCTCACAGAGACGTTGACACGTACATCCCAGGTGATGAGCAGTCTGTGCTGAGGCAGGAAACCTTGAAGAAGACGACTAAATCCAGGAGCAATCTACGAGCGGAGGATTCCATGGCAACACTCCGTCCACGGCGCAATTCTTCTGCGCCCAATCTCAACGAGATGTCATTCGGCGATGGCGCAGCTGATGCACAGCACGCAAACGATCGAGCACGTGTCTGGTCTACCTACTACGAAAACTGCGTCGATGCATACCCCCGTCTGAGCATGGACACAAACCGAGTTCTCGAGGACTTTGGTCGTCCGAATCGGCACTCATTCGATAGCCGGCAGGTGTCCGTGCACTCGCGCACTTTGCCTACTCATCTGCGCAAACACACGCGCAACGCTAGTCAGATGAGTCAGATGAGCAATGGGAGCCGCGCCAGGAGCTTCGGCTCGCTGGGTCAAGATGACAGCGCTTTCGAGGAGCGGAGCTTGGTCAGCGTTAGACGAAGCACCATGGATCTGATTTCCAAGTTCAAACAGCAGGAGGCTACGGAGCATGAAAGGATCTTGTCCTTCAGCAGGATGGACAGTGGAAAAGCACGGGAAAGTGCGGCGGCTCAGTGAGGTGGGTCAAAATCGCGTCACGTCGTAATGTCTAATATTTGCTCCTCGAGTCCGCCAGTGCGACGAATGTATCGTTATTGTCAGCATAGGTCAGTCCGTAGCATTTACTAGTCATACTTGGTCATTTTCTCGTTGTGTTGTCATCGCCCTTGAGGCTGGTTGTGCAATGCTCGAATTTCCATTGGCCGCGTTTTTGCTCACCCAAGGCATGCACTCACGGGTATTAGAGCCGCGACCCACTTCCACTTCTGCAGCCAGTGGCAATGCCTCGATATCCAAAACATCTATCAATTCACAACAACGCAGTGGCTCGTGCGGCGAGGACCTTGGGCTAGTGATTTGTTCCCACGTTTGACGTGGGAAATATCTGCGGTTGGCTTTCGGGGCACCTGTCCGAGCACACTGCGCATTTCTCTACTGGGGAGTGCGAACTCTGGATACAGTCATTGCATCCAGTCAAGGCCGCTGGAAATTCTCACACTGTTTCTGTTTATAAGCCTGGATATATCCCGCTGTGAATCTATCTTCAGAGAGCTACCCATCCGCACACTGACTAAAGCACTAAGCCAACTACACACACTCGCTCGACCCACCCACCTCTAATATCACGCACCTGCTCGACTGATACATACGATCAACCAACTCACATTCGCGCTGTCATCACACACTCAGTTGACGATATACGGTCAACCCACATACATTCACGCCGTCATCACACACTTAACTGACTACGTATCGGCTCAACTACTACATACAGTCAGGCTATACATACAGTTGCCTACCACATACCCGCCTCACCACTACAAACGCGTCTGAACATCACACCCAGGCTCATACATCACGCTCGCGGTACAGTAGTCGATTCCCAAAACATACACGAGACTCCTACATGCCATGTCTTTCCAATCCCTAGCCACAACCCCTGCCATCCAGGCCATGAACGCCAACCTGTTGAGGAATCTGTGGTCTTATCGCGAGGTGCAGGACGGAGGGGTGGAGGGAGGGGTTGATGGAGAGGTTGATCAAGGAGAAGAGACGGAGAGTGCGTATGAGGAGGATGAAGATGTGGAGATGGAAGAGGAAGAGGAGGTGCAGGAAGAAGTTAATGCTTCACCGCCACCACCAGAAGTGGAAGTGGAAGTGGAAGTAGAGGTTGCAGCAAAGGAGAAGAAATCACCTAAAATACACATCCCAGTGAGGATTTGGAACGAGGTTGTTCCTGGAGGCAAGGTTAGAGGCAAGGTTAATGTACCAAGCGTACAAGCCGCTCAAGATCCCAAGGTGGATAGTTCGAAGCGCAAACGCGTTTCTCTTGTCTTACATCATGACATAGAGGCTAGTGGCGCCGAGGCGCAAGAGCAGGAAGCAGAAGCGCAAGTAGAAGAAAGAGGCCGCCGAAAGCGGACAAAGACGTTCAAAGCCTCTCAAAACGAAGAGATTTCAAGGGCGAAGACGAGCGGAGCTTCAAGGTCACGTGGACATGCGGCTTCGGCTTCGACGTCTAGACCCGCTTCTCGCACCGCTGCTGCTACCGCTACCGCTTCACGTTCACATGGAAGCGAAAGCGTCCTACTGTCAGCGTCTGCCCTCGCACTAGAAACCGCTGCCCGCACGCTGAAAAAACGCGCCGTTGCCTCCTCCTACCTCTCCTCATCCACGGAAGCATCACCGCCAACCACGCCGCCCATATCAACCACACCACCACCCAAAGAAGGCCCCCGCGCAGCATGGCACCGCCTGTTCCCGCACCTCCCCTCGCTCTCAGACTACTACCACATCGGCGAGTGGCGCGAACTAATGGTTTGGAAAGAAGCCAAAGGCTGGATTAAACGGGCCGCAGATGACCCTTGGGAGAAGCCGGTGTTCAGGAAACCGGGATGGAATAAGAGGGATGAGGAACATGAGAGGTTGTGGGAGGGATGTGAGAGGAGGATGGTGAGGGAGAGGGGGTGGACGTATGAGGGGAGGGTGAAGGGGGATGAGGGGATGGTTAGGGCGGCGGAGAGGGGTTGGGGTGTAGGAGGGTGGGAGGGGTGAGGGTTTGGATGGGGGAAGGAGCTATAGACTCAATACGCTGACTATGATGACGATACCGATGGTGGATGTACACCATACTACTATCATAAACCACGATGGCTCATCCAATGCTTCCTTTCTCCCTGGTATAGTCTTTTCTACTCTTTGCCTCCATCGAGTGAACCACCATGTATGCTCGTTCCTCGCATCCGTCCTTGAACCTTTTCGACTCATCCTGTAGCCATCTTCCACTTTGTGTCCTTCCATGTCGTCTTCGCTCTCGTTGCCACTGCTATCACCCTCCCAGTCATCCCTCTGTGCGTCGCTGAAACACCAAGCCTCTATCAGACTTCCGGGTTGGATCCGCGCGTTCCAGTCTCCGCTGCTGATTGGCATATCTTCCTTAACATCCCAGAGTGTGCGAACGACGATGCCATCGCGTGCCAGTTCGTGGAGCAGTGCGTTGAGACTGGTCCATTGACAATAAAGACGGTGATCGAGTAGTTTCGTTGTAGTGCTGTCTTCCAAATGGAAGGTCAGGGTGATTGGGGTCGAGTCCGTGGCTAGTTTTGCTCCGGGTCGTGATGAAGGTGATGACTGTCCGTCCTGTTGCCCCGGCGGACAAAGCCCAATGCCTGAGTCGATTCGAGGAAGTAGGGTTCGGACGTGTTTTGCCTTGCAGTCTCCCTCTCTCGATCCAGCGTCGACGAGACACCACAGTATCCATTTTATGCTTAGATGATGGGCCCAGTTGACGTAGAAGCTATAGTTCGATATGTGTCTCGTCACCGATTCGTTCATTCCCGTCCTGGAGTCCCCACTGGTGTCGGATCCTTGAGTTGTTGGTGTAACATCGCTCCTTCCGCTTGTGATATGCATTCGGTTTATGGAGAAATCGCGCGCTCATCTTCGAGTCTGGATTTGAGCGACCGTGTCTTCCATTCATAATCTCTAACATAGCGCTTGCCAGCTCCACTACCCGCATAACGGCCTTGGGTGAGTTTAGTTGAGCGACGGCATGTCTTCAACAAAGAGTCTCATTCGCCCTAACTATATCTCCGGGTATCTATCGCGCAAGTACCCAACAACACATGGGGAGGAGTACATGTGCTATGTACCCCACGATTTTCCCATATTGCGGCGAGTTGATCTGAGATTTAGAGTGGTTGACATGTAACACGAAACCCACGGGTCCAACATTATACAGACTATAAGTCTCGATGATGTTGGCATTGTCATACCAAACCCACCCAGTCTACATTTTTGCGATGATAGGCTTTGATGTTGTTAGATAAGTGACACAAAACCCACATTATCTACAACCGCCCCGTCTAAACAAAGGATGACTTCATCACACTCTTACGGACATGTAACACCCGCGGCACCGGAGAAGAAGAGGCAAGGCGGCCGAAGACAGCAGCGTTCTAGCCTCGAATTCCCTTTGCATCCTCGACCAAACATTCTTGCATATGTTGTGTTGATTCATATTAAAGGATATGACGTCATTTCTACATCCCAACTACATCGCTTCGTCTTCGTGCAAAAAAGCGACCGTGGAGCACGTCAACACTAAATCGTGCTACTATGTGAAATCAAACATCGAGGATATCTATCCATCCAAAAACGCCAATCGCTATACCCTAGATCATCAAAAAGAAACTCGTACAACCGAAAGATACCGTCTTCATCCCTACTCCTCTTGTCTCTCCTTGCCCTTGCCAAGCGGACTCATCCCCGCCCCACTCCCCAACCTCTTACTCCTAATACTCGTCTGCCTCGCCAAGCTCGCAGAACTCCCCTTCCCCCTAACCTTCAAACTCTTAATAGAATTCGACGGGCTCGGCCTCGGACTCATCCTCGGACTACCCCCTCTACTCCCACTGCTGCTCATCTGTTCAAACCTGCCCGCCAGATCCTTCACCCTCGTCGGCGACTCCTTCCCATTCCCATTCCCATTATCATCCCCAGCAACGCTTGGAGGAACCTCACTCAATATGCTCGCGCCATCAATATCCGCGTTGACGACGCGGAGTTTAGACTTGGGTACGGTAAACATGACTTGTACGACGCGACGTTCGACTGCGGCTTCGACGTCCCAGTCTGCTTCGCTGGCGGGGGTGCAGGGCCGTTCTCTGTCGTCTCCTCTGTCGTGTGAAGGTGGTACACCTAGTTGGTCTGGGGAGATGGGTGTACGCGGGGTAGGTAACCTCTCCTCACTATTGATAGTGACGAGGAGATTACTACCACGTTCGCGCCACTCTTGACGCGCGCGTTCACGCTCAAGTATGGCGATGTCTTCAGGCGCGCCCCAGTCGTCGCCTGCAGTGCGGCGCCACGCCGGGTCCTGTTCTTCTTCGAGCCAGTCCTGTTTGCCGCGGCGGTTGCGCCAGAAGCTTGCGTCGGAAGCGGCGCGTTGGGGCGTCGAGTTTGTAGTCGCAGTAGCGGGGAGGGATTTTCTGTTGATGGAGCGGGGAGAGGGGTCGACGGGGGAGGTAGGGTCGTCTCTGTAGGGCTCGTGGAATGTGGGTGCTGTTGTGAGGGAGCGCGTGCGTTCGGCACTTGAGACGGAACGTGTTAGTACTCTGCGGACGCTGCCTAGCCAGCTCATTCTGCGCTCTCTGGTTGCAGGACGAGGGGCGGATGATAGGTCTAGTGCGAAGGATGTTGCTGGTGTGGCTGTGGCTGCGCGACTGTTGCTGCGGTCTGAGTCCCGATGAGTGGTTGAACCAGATGAACTGGTGTCGGGCCTGGATCGCTCTGGATTTCCACCAAGAAGTACTTCGCCTTCTGCTTGTAGACGAGAAAACGATGATTGTGCGGTGCGGAAGGAGTCGACATCCTGCTCGCCTTGCAAGCTGCTAAAGGATTGCGTTCGCGGGTCCTCTGGTGAGTGGCGACCAGGCTTGTCATGAGTAGGACTTGTATCGGGCGTCTTGAATGGGTTGGCACGCATGGCCGTATTCAACATAGGACCCGAACGCATAGATGCACTGCGCCCAACGCCGCCATTAGATGAAGTCCATGAGAGCGTACTCCTCTCGCTGAGGTTCGAGCTTGTACGTTCCGAAGTAGACTTGTCAGGCGATAGTCTTCCAGCTGAATTGGTATTAACCTCATAGCTCTGGTGCTGAGGCGACGGGGATGCCGAATGAAGGGTGTTCCTGTTACGTCCAGGGGACTCCGTGAATGGATCCAAAACTGGAGCGTTATCAAGTATTGCCGACCCAGATCTTTGTCGTGTCTCTGTCATCTCCTGATGCCTGCCCGGTGTATTATTGTCGTGCGCTGACTCCTCATCAGGCTCCTCCTCCAACTCATCGATAGGATGTATGCTTCCTGGACCTCGGGGCCTGCCCATGGCGTACTGAGGTCTACCGCTCAAGTTGCGTCGCAATCCGCGCGTTGGACTTGGAACCTCGACTAGCAAGCCAGTTCTTTCCACGTCACCTCGATTAGTAGACTTCCATCCCTGTCCACCCTGTGTACCGGCTGGAAAGTAGTAAGGCCCGTTCTGATCGGCGATGTAGTCCAGAGCATCCGAGTTTCCGCCGCGGCCATCGAAGCTTTGAGGGTAGTCTTCGGCATTGTATCTGTGGGTAGTGTAGGAGATCTCTTGCAGTTGCTTTTCACGGAACTCCCTTCGCTTCTTCATACGCCTTGCATACCACATGTAGAGCGCGAACACTCCACATATCGCAGCCAAACCGATACCAACACCGACACCCAAGCCAGCCTTTTGTCCAGTCGTAGACAACAGGCCGCTACTGGCAGACTCTGACGGCGACTCTTTGACCGGGGGAGTATAATCCGAGATCCAGGTATTCGAGGTAACGTTGAGGAAGTAAGTTTGCGTGTTTGCTGCTGGCACGGTGTCTCTTCGCTGCGTGCCGGATGATGAAATCGAATAGCCTCCGGTAATCATCAGTACACCTCCTGGGAGCATGGCCGCTCCATGGCCATAGAGACCACCGTCAATCGGCAGTCCGGTACCAGTAGTAGATGGAACTACCCACTCCCAGTCACCAGCACCACCATAGCCATCTGCGACGCTCAGTATGGCGAACTGGGGGTATGCCGGTGTATTGATGTCGCCCACCCAACCTCCGACAACAATGATCTGCTGGCCATCCGGACTCAGCACAGCGGTATGACCGGATCGAGGATCGATCGAGGTGACGTCTGCTCGAATAGCTAGGTCGGTACGGGAGGTGTCAGGTTGATCGACGCCGATAAAGGTCCAGCCCTGTTCCGGAAGGGAGAAGAGCGCAATCTGTGACATGTTGATAAAGGCAGCACTGGTGTGACCTCCAATGAGCACGAAGTTTTGCTGTTGTATCTGCGTTCCATCGCTTCGGTCGGAGTACGTAGGCGAAAGACCAGTGATGGTGAATCCAGCTTCGGGTATAGGCGGTCCACGGCTAGATGAGACGTCGATGTCATAGTTGAGTGGCTTATCCGTGTCCTCCGAAGGTTGTACGGTGACCATGAAGTTGGAGTAGTTGGCCGCAGATTGCCAGTCGCTTGCAGTCTCGTTCTGATCAGGACACATGCCACCGAAGAAGTATGCGCCAGTATTCGCAGCCTTTCCTCCAACGATAGACGAGAAGGTCATGCCACCGCTGAGGTAGTTCGCGCCCATGATGGACGTGTGCGAACTGTCGACCACTGAAACATCCTGCTTGCTCCAACTGCCCTTGACGACATTCTCTGAGGTATCCGGTACAAAGCTCCACAACTCTCCACCACTCGCACCAAGAGTGCAGTCGCCAGTGTATACAGTCAGATTGCCGTCGTGGTCGAGAACCGGGGTGAAGGCGCGCGGGGCATTGTCGTCGAGGAAGGGCAGCGTAGCGTACAGTGTGTTGTAGGGCAGGTTCGACGCTTTGACCTGAGACGATAGGTCGATGGTGCTCAGTGCGAATTGCGTGGACGATTGCGACGACGGGCGGAAGACGTAAAGGGTGTCATTGTTTTGGAGGAGGCGTGTCGGGTTGTATGGCATCTGGGCTGCGACGGCAGAC